ATTTTTTTTCCCTAAAACTTTCAAAAAAGAATAAAAAAAAAAAAAAAAAAAAAAAAGCCCACAGGAAAAAAAAAAAAAACCAATCCAAAAAATCCCACCAACAAAACACACCGATTCAAAGCTCGGAGTCTGCAGCAGCACAACCACAAACCACGCAAGCATGCTCTCTCCCCACTGCACCCTGCTGCACCCTGCCCCAGCAGCGAAGGCAGCCTTGCAGAGCCGCCACCTCCTGCCTCACCAACACCACCTCCTCGCCACACACATCCAATTTCTCCTTTTGGAGCAGTTCACCAAAGTTTGGGCTCTTCGGAGGGCAAAGGCGGAATGGGAATGCCAGCACGGAGGCACAGGCAAGTGCTAAGCACAAACACATTTACAGTGAAACTAAGGCTCTCCAGATGCTAACTGCGAGGTGGATGAATTGTGTATTCTAACATTAATTCAATGTTAAACCACATCATTTTACCACAGATAAAAATATTTTCACACTTGTAACAACGTACTTTAACATTTATACAGCATTTGTCACCTCAAGAGCTCAAAGCATTGCACAGGCACTGAGGTCCACACCGCCATGGGAAGGTAGGTAACGGGTATCATCCCTGGTCTATCAGCAAAGGAAAATGGAAAGGGAGAGGAGGGAAGGAAAAAGGGTTTGCATAAAGTCCACGGCAGACACAAATTCAGACACCCAACCCCATCAAGCACAGTGAGGGCAGGTGGGCTGCTTGATGCATGGCAAATGAAAGACCGTTGCACAGGGAACTGCTATGTATTTGAAATCAACACCTTCTGCAGGAAAATAGCCCTTTCCACCAGATTTTCCCAAGCTCCAGGTCACAGGGCTCTCAGCATTTGCCCAAACCGCTGGGTTCTACCCTCAGTTCAGGAAAGCAAAAAGGTCCCTGAGAATTGTAACTATTTGAAAAGTTGATGGAGTTTTGCTGCATCCCGAACCCTGCGGGGTCACCCCTCCCCTGAGCCCGGGTTGTGCCACCCCACCGCCCCGGTCCCAGGGAACAAAGACTGCAGGCGGACACAAAGGAGGCATTTAGGTACCTTCCTCATTGTTCTTTTGTGCTGCGCTTCCTCCGACACCGCGCAGCACCCAGGCTCATGTACCGTTTCTATGGTGAGTGCTCGTCCAATTTCAGTACTAGGCTAGGAAACCACCCAACAGGCCCATTTTCTTGTTTCAGCATCCTTCTGCAGAACAAATAGCAGCACGGCAAAAAGAAAAAAAAAAACCAGCGGTTTCCCGCAGTCACGACTGCAAGGCTGAGGACCAGTGCAGGGGTTGTTCCAAGGGATGGAAAAACAGCCTGGTCGTGTCTGGCAGGATACGATAGATTTTTGAGATGGGCGTTTATAAGCAATTAGCTTAAAAAAAAAAAAAGACTGGGTGCTTTTTTAAAATACCACATAGCTTGCAAAGAGGAGCTACTTGGTGACAAGGTCCCTTAAGAACCTTGTGGTGCTCAGAGGGAGATGAGACCTCCCAGGATTCTGGTCCCCAATTCTCAGCCTTTGCATCTCTTTGTATTAGTATTTCGCATTACTGTCATTAAAATCAAAAGACCTGACAATTTCTGCAGGGTCCTTTCACCAATTTAAGTGTTCTCCTCACACCCTCTCGATCCAGCTCTCTTAAGCTGAAAAATGTACATACGTTTTTCCCCTATTAAAATAAATTAAATTTCTCAAGCTCCAAATGAAAAAAATATTCTGCTGCTTCTGTATTGAAAAGGGTAAATATATCTATTTATGTATCTTTTTATATATGTATGTGTGTATATATATATATATGTATGTGAGGGTTGGAAGCAGTGTCTTAAAAAGAAAAAAAGATATTCTAGAATATGAGTTGAAGCATTCAAAAAAATAAAACCAATTCAATCACTCCCTACAAGCTTTTTAATCTATCCCAGACAGGACAGTGTCAGGACTAATGACAAAACCTTTCCCCTCTTTCTTTGTGGTAAAAGGGCCCTGACCCTCCTGCGTCTCGGCAATTCTTCTGCTCTACCAGGTCTCTTTCTCTATTCTAAAATATTTTAAAGTGTTCTGTACCTTGTTCATAATTAATAGGAATTTTACCTAATGAGAAATTAATGAACCAAAAAGGAGAAGGCTAATTACTGTAATTTAAGATTGGCAGTGAATCTCAGACCCCACAAAGGATCATGTTTTGCCATGGATGTGCCGAGGACACGCTGGTCCGCGGGGCTGGTGGGGACATGCCGCTGGGAGAAGTGGCAGAGCCCTGTGTGAAGCTTCATTGATAAATGACCTCTCAGGCATTTCTGACCATCCTCTCCAGGTGCTCTTTGCTATTTAACTTCCAGTGCAATTCAACAAAAAGAAGTATCATTGAATAACAAGCGCAACAACAAAAAAGAGAAAGCTTGACAAAGAGAGAAATCATGCTTTCCTAAGAAGGAAGAATTCCCCACATGTTTAAAGATTGCTGAACCAACTGGAGTCTCCTTGTGTCCTGGAAAAAAACAAAACAAAACAAACCCAACAACAACACAGGACAAAATCAACCCAAACCAAATTTACTGCCCAATACGAAAGAGCATATAATGAAAAAGGCAGGTGGTCCCCCTTTGGCAACACACCCTGAGTTTGGTTGTTCAAACTGTGAGCTCTCGGACTTGACAAGTTTGGTATCACAGGGACACGGCAGCTAAAACTGAGTCCAGACATGCATATTTTAAATACGCCCTTCTCGGCCTCCAAGGTCTGCCCAGCCAAAACCCGAGTGCAGAAAGTCTGGGTCCACAGCAGGAGGGAGGGGATGAAGATGTGCCAACAAAAAATGAGAGAAAACTATTACATTCTACCTTTTTCTCCCTGTAACCTACACAAAATATGGTACTACTTCGAGAGAAAAGAAAAAAAAACAATTATTTGTGCCTACGGATAAAACCTACTCCGTAGTACGCTGGCCTTGCCGTGAGTAATGCAGCCACGCAGAGCTCTGCCAGAGCCAGTGTACATAATAGCATGTATTTACTACATCAGTTAGAGCAATGTGAGTCACGAGCCTAAGTGCTAGGCTCCATAGTCAGAGCTGGTTTTTTTATTGTATTCTAAAATATTTCCCACACGCAAAATAATAAAGCCCCACATTTTTAATGCTAGGCTTGAAAATAACACCACCATTTTCTAACTCATTATTAAAAGATTCAGCTATTACAAATTTTATTTGCATCTTGCTACAATAATAGAGTTAACTAATTTGCCAAGATGGCTCTACAAGAAGGGGACTAGTCTTGAAGCCCTAATTCAGGTAAGCATGTTTACACTCCCTCATTCAACTTTTTGGAAAAGGCGGGGGGAAGTCAGGGAGGAGGAGCACCATGGGTTCCTCAGGATAAAGGCAGGCAAGATCTCCAGGAATTCTGCCCCATGGCAGTACTGCTGCTGACTACAGTGTAACTCTTTGATATGAACTGCATGTGCTAACATACATTTTCTTTTATCCACAATTAACATTAAAGAGGAGGAACAGCATTCCATGTGTTTGGCACACAAGGCACCTCACTGAAGTCCACGCTACACTTCCTTCACCCTTGCAATGAGCATTAATCAAACTGAAGTCAGTAACGTGTATGGCAACCGCTTCCTCCCGCTGCAGCCCCGAGCTTTCCTCAGTGTGCAGTGGCCCTAAAAAGCCCCTGGAGCTGCACTGAAGCACCTTCCGTGCTGCAGAGACACCTAAGGCTTGCAGGGCTCCCCAGGGACCAGGCAGTTCTGAGGCTTGCTGGCAACCTAGCTAGGCAAGCCCTTGCAGAAGCCACTGTACATGCACTGATAGCCCATGTTTTGACCAAACAACAGCTGGGCTGAATTTGTAAAGGCTTATGGGGGACCACAGAGGTAGGGAATGGGTTTGGAATGACCGCAGGGAGCACTGACAACTCACTGGAGGGAGGGAAAGGTGCTCTGATAAAGCAGGATCCAAATTCCCTCAGTACATTGCAAAACCCCCAAGGCCATGGCGGCAGCAGCATCTCGGGGATGCAGGATATGCCTTCACCCTGCATCTTACCTTCACTGAAGACAAAATCCGCGGTGATGTCGAAGGGCTGGACACGCACTTCCGACAGCAAGAGCTGCACAGACTTCTGGTGGTCGCTGGAGACGAGGGAGATGGTCTGCTGTGCCTGGCACTCGTAGGACTTCCCAGCTGGAGTGACCAGGGCAGACAGCCGGTGCGAGCTGGCCGTGTGCTTCCCGACTGGCCAAGGGGTAGAAACACCAGAGGTCAGGTCCCGTCTCTGGGGGACTGACGTGACTTTATTAACTAAGCTAATGAACTGAACACAAGGGTACGCAGGCGGTGTGCAATGCGGCGGCCGCACGCTCCACTGCTCTTAAAGCAGCATTTTCTCCTGGGGTGGGACCATGCTTTCAGCATGGCACCCCCACATCGCCAGGGCGGTCTCTGCACTGGGATTGCCTGCCCGCAAGCAGGAATGGATGCCTGCGGCGTGTGGTCCTGCTGCCACAAAGGGGAGAGCTGGCTCTGCCGCTGACAGCTACGCTCATGTCACAGGACCTGAAGTCCATAAAGTCAGAGGAATGGTTTCTATTGACGTGCATGCAGGTTTCAGCCTCAGACTGCACTCGTACTCCCTACAGCAATTCCTGCGGCAGCGCTTGGGCTCTGAATTCAGGTGTGAAAGAGCAACACAATTTGAGGACCTCACTACAAAACAAAACAGGCCGTAACAGTTTTCCTGAAAATACGGTATGACCATTTCACGCAAATATAGATTATAAGAAAATATTTTCCCATTGCATCATGCCCGTTTTAAAAATGAAGGCCGAATGCGGCTCAGCGAGATGGAATGAGGATGCCTTCCACCTCTCGCTCTTCCGCAGCCCTTTGTTCCCCACTAGCAGCACAGAAAGGTAATCAGCACTTTGCATTTGTGGAGGGTGATGAGGCATGGCCATCACTGTGTTTTGGGGACACACACAGTAGAAACACCAGTGGGGAAAAATAGCTCCACATCCAGTGTGTCTTATGCCACAAACTCTTAACGCACCATTCACTGGAGTTTGAAAATCTTGCAGAAGAACAACTTGCAAACAACAGCATTTCAATTTTCAATACAAGACAACTGATTTCTGGGCAGAAACAAGATAAAAAGAAAACAAAAACCTAAAGAAAGGAAACCCAGTGAGAAAACTGGAGGCTGTTGGGTGTGGAGGCTTGCAGGGGTATAGATACTGATGTCGATCTCATCCCTGTCTTGGGAAACCACTGATTTCCCACCCATTCAACCATCATTAGAACTGAGGAGATAATTAACCTTAAAAAACATCTTCTGCTGGAAAGGGGACAAATTTTTCCAGACCAGGGAGACCATTGCCCCACTGCCCACCCCCTTGGGCCCCGGGTCCCGCAGCAAACGGGCTCCCGCTCATGCCGCAACTGCGGTGATTAAAAACAAGAACCAAGAATAAGAAGCGGGGGAGGAAGAGGAATTAATAAATACAGGGTTTAAAACTGCCACCTGGTCCCGGCTTTGTCGGGAGGGTCTGGGATTTCTTTTTTCCCTATTAAACTGCATTTAGGCGAGCACCCGCGGGGCGTCTGTCCCCCTCCGTCCCCCCCACCGGCTCCACACTCTCCAACCCCCAGGGATGTGCTTTAAATCCCGTCCCCCCGGGGCGCTTACGGCTGACGGCGCCCTTGAAGTAGGTGCGCTCGGTGGTGTCGTAGGTGAACTGGATCCGGCTGAGCCTCCAGAACGCCTCCAGCCCCCGGGACGTGTTGTGTCCCTCCTGCCGAGACAGAGCCGGTCAGCACCCCCGCAATACCGCCCTGCACACCCACCCACCACCCCCCAGCTCCCGGGCGTGCGGGGGGAGCCCCGTACCTTCAGGAAGAAGAGTTTGAGGGTGTACGCTTGCTCCAGCCAGGAGATCTCCAGCTCCGACTCGTTGGTGCCGCACTTGCCCTTCACCTCGGCGCCCCGCGGCAGCGGGATATCGGCTTGCTCCGTGATCAGCTGGAAGTGGGGAGCGGGGCTCAGGGGGGGTGGCCCCGGAGCACCTCCGGGAGCCCCCAGTCCCCCCTATAGCCCCGGCAGAATATCCTCGGAGGGGATAAAGGACT